AATGTTCCACAGAACCAAAGTGGCTGCTCTCTCTACTCTGCAGGTAACCTAACTCTTTACAGCCCCTTAAGCTAATCTTGGTATTTAGTTATACTCTCCATTAGAGAAGACCCTCAATGAGATGGACTGAATCAGTGACTGGGGTAATAGGAGCACATATATCAGAGACAATAAGGTTGGCTCAGTACAGAGCAGGGTTCAAAGCTGCTGTACAAAGGGTCACTGTGAGTCACAGGTGACTCTATGGCACAGAACAGCAACAATTATTCTTTTCATTCATATAAATCTAAAGATATACAGGAATTAAAGGAGGAACAAGAGAAGGCACAAAAAAGATGTCCTTTGCTCCAATTCCATGAGGTAAACAACTACATCATTAAATGTTGGTATCTGATCTAGAGGTTGATCACTTATTCAAAACCCATTCATGAGTTTACTCAATGCATAGTATGTGCTCTGGAGGCAAGGATGGTGAAGCGCTGTCTCTCAAATTTTGAGCATGTTGCTAGGAGAGATTATTTCTTGAAAAGGGACATCATGCTTGGAAAGGTGGAGGGTCAGCAAAGGAGAGGAAGACTTTCAACAAGATGTACCGACAAGGTGACAGCAGCAATGAGTTCAAGTGCATCAGAGGTGATGAGAAAACACAGGATAGGATAAGGGTCAGATCCATTGTTCAGAGGTTGCTAGAAGTCATATTTGACAGCATCTAACAACAAAAATATACTCTAGAGAGCTCTGGTGGCTTAGTGGTAAGGAGTTGTGTTGCCAACACAAAGGCATGCAGTTCAAATTCACGAGGTGCTCCTCAGGAGAAAAATAGGCATTCTCCTCCCATGAGAGTTACAGCCTCAAAAAACCCACAGGAAGGTCAGCTGTGAATTGGTTCTGACTCGATGGGGCACAACAACATGTGCTCTAGTAAGGCTCTACCAGGAGCCTGAGTAGCAGCATAGTTTAACCTCTTAGCTGCTAACCAAAAGTAATATTATCTGAATCTATCTCTTAGATTGTACATAGTACATAGGGTTTTCAGAGGCCTGCTATTTCAGAAGTGGATGGCCAATCCTTCTTCCTAGTCTGTCTTAATCTGATGTTTAGGAGTATCTGACAGACAGCAATTTGTGGAGCAGTGAAAGATAAATCCCTCATTGTGGAGTTAACCATTAGTTACAGTGTAGTCCCTGCCCTTAGCCCAGTGCCTTGACCCATTTATTTCCCAGCTCCGCCCTCCACCAGGATACCCCTTCACTTCTGCCAAATGCCTTCAGAATTAATCTCCCATTGTCCGACCCATGACCTGACAGCTTGTATCTGAAGCTTTCTTGGCTCCTGTGATTCCAAACACGTAAACTGCTGACAATTTTTTTTTCTGTGTCCAGGTCTGGAACAGTACATCAACAGAGAACTGCCAGAAGTCCAGGCTGTGTTTAGAAGGGATCATGGTACTAGGGATATTGTAGCTGATGTTAGATGGATCTTAGCTGAAAGGAGAGAACACCAGAAGAATGTCTATCTGTGTTTCATTGACTATGCAAAGGCATTTGACTGTGTGGAGCATAATAAACTATGGCTGACTCTGAGAAGAATGGGAATCCCAGAACATTTAATCATGCTAATGCGAAACCTATACTTGGACCAAGAGGCAGCCGTCAGAACAGAGCAGGGCAACACTGCATGGTTCAAAATTGAGAAAGGTGTGCGCCAGGGATGTGTCCTGTCTCCATACCTTTTCAACCTGTATGCAGAGCAGATTATCCGAGAGGCTGGGCTCTATGAGGAGATGCGTGGCATTAGGATTGGTAGAAAATCTATCAACAATCTGCGTTATGTAGATGACACAACCCTGCTTGCTGAAACTAGGAGGACCTCTTGCACTTACTGCAGAGGGTCAAGGACTGCAGCCTTCAGTATGGACTGAGGCTCAATGTCAAGAAGACAAAGATTCTCACCACTGGACCAATCGGTAGCATCAGGATGGATGGCGAAGAGATTGAGATTGTTCACAGCTTCAGTTTGCTCGGCTCCATAGTCAACACTCTTGGCACCAGCAGCCAGGAAATAAAAAAAATGTATTGCGATGGGAAAGTCTGCCGTTAGGGACCTCTCTAAAGTACTCAAGAGCAACGGTGTCTCTCTGGAGACTAAGGTGCACCTGATACAGGCCATGGTCTTTGCAATCACTTGTTATGCATCAGAGAGCTGGACAATGACTAGGGAGGATAGAAGGAGAATTGTCAGAGGCAATGCGACTGGCACAGGATAGAGCAGGGTTTAGGGCTGTTGTACATAGGGTCGCTATGAGTCACAAATGCTCTACGGTACATAACAACAACAACATCTCTAAGATTTACTGCCTCAGAAATCTAATGAAGGGATGCTGGAATATCAAACTGGCTCAATAGTAGTGGATTCATGAAGTTTTGTTGTTTGGGTTTTTTTTAAGAAAATGGTTCAAGTATTGCTCTATATAAACAGTAATAATCTAAAAACCCCCAACATTTCAGGTGCATTCAAAATGTAGTCTTACTTGTTAATCTGCAAAGCTCGAACAATCTGAACAACTTTGTAGTTATTTTTATGACTCTTCACTCTAACCCGTCCTGATTTAAAAGCAAAGCAAGGAGAAGCCTGCAGTGGATGGGCATGTGAGAATCAAAGGAAACTACATATGTTCCCTTCCACCTGAGTTTAAAAACCATCTAAGAATAGAGTTCATATACTGAACACTAATGATGGAAAATGAGAGCAATTACAGGATCACATTAAGGACATAATATATGAAGAAAGTAAAAGGTTATTAAGGAAATGGGAAAGAAAGATAAGACCAAAATGGATTTCAGAAGACACTCTGAAACTTGCTGTTGAATGTAGAGAAGGTAAAGGCAAGGAGAGAAATGATGAAATAACAAAACTCAACAGAAGATTTCAAAGGGCAGCTCAGGAAGACAAGGCAAAGTATTTTAATGAAATGTGTAAAGACCTTGAGTGAGAAAATCATGCTCAGAATTGCTCAAGCTGAATGAACTGAAGAAAAATTCAAGCTTCAAGATGGAATCCTGCAGGCCTCTATGAGCAAAATACTGAATGCCCCAGGATATATCAAAAGAAGATGGAAGAAATATAGTCACTGTACCAAACAGGGAGCTCTGGTGGCCAGGAGGTAGGGATGCACTGCTAACTCTCTGGGGCTTAAAAACTCCACCAGGGGCTCCAAGGGAGAAATATGAGTAATCTCCTCCCATGAAATTTACAGTCTCTGAAAATCTGCTGGAAGGTCATCTATAAGTTTGAAAGTTTGAAAGTTGAGTATCAAATAGATTTGGGAGACTGAACAGGAAGTAGCATAGGATCAAGAATATCAATTACAGTGTTTCAAATGCAGTCCTGGTGGTGCTCACTCAACTATGCAAAGAAATGTGAACATCGCTACCTGATCAATCGACTGGAAGACAGAGACTGGCTGGTACTTGTTTCCCACCATTCCTTGATTTCCTCCCAAAATGGTGATAAAGAAGAATGCAGAAATTATCAAATAATATCAAGTATATCACATACAAGTAAATTGTTGTTGAAGATTATTAAAAAACAGCTGAACAGTTTTATCAACACGGAACTACCAGAAATTCAAACTGAATTCAGAAGGACTAGGGCTATCACTGCTGATGCCAGTGGATCTTACCTCAGATCAGTGAATATCAGAAACATGTTTGCTTTCTTTTATGCAAAGGTATTTGACTATGCGGATTAAAATAAAACAGGGATAATACTTAGAAGAATAGGAGTTTCAGAATACTTTACTGTGCTCATCAGAAAGCTGTTCATGAACCAGAAGGAGTCAAACAAAACAAGGGGGTATGAGATGTTTTAAAATCAGGGAAAGTGTGTTCAACATGAATGCTGAGCAAATAATCCAAGAAGCTGGACTCTAGTGTGAGGATTGAAGACTCATCAACAATGTGAATTATGAGCATAACACAACCTCGCTTGCAGAAAGACGACTTAAAGCATTTACTAAAGAAGAAATACATCAATACCAAGAAACAAAAATCCTCACTCCTGGGCCAATGCTATGATCAATGGATAAAAGACTGAAGCTTTTGTCAATTATTTTACTTGGATCAACTATTAACATGATGGAAGCAGCTGTCAAAAAGCAAAAGACGTACTGCAGTGGGTAAATCTACAGCCAAGAACCATCAGAGTGCTCAAGAAGGAGGATGTCAGTTTGAAGACAAAGGTAGTGGATAAATAAAGTGCAGGTTTTGTCACACACTGAAGCAGTATACTACAGTATAGCATACAATTATTTGTGTGTGTGTGTGTGTGTGTGTGCGCGCGCGCACTGTCAAATCAGATCTGACTGATACAGGAGGAAACTGCCCCTCCTTCAAACTACATACCTCTGGGCTTGCAGTGCAGCTTCTTGCCAATAGGCCACCAGAGCTCCCTATGCATATAATTATTTTAACAATTAATTAATTAAAATTAATTTAAAATTTAAAATTAATTAGATCTGTTAGTAGTAGCAAGGTGTGTCACAATTAACTCAACTGCAATTAATAATATCCACAGCAATGTGGTGAACCCCAAAACACTATTACGCAGATAGTAAGTTGAAAAAAAACCAAAACCAATCTACCAAGTAATAAGAGTTTATCAAGTTTTAAAGCATTCACAGATGCTGTATTCTGTATGTATGAATGTATCTGTATTGTGTATGTATGTTACACATACATGTGTGCATACACACTCACATACAAACAAACTCAAAACAACAAAGGAAAAATAAACTCGAGAGTAGTTAGCATTCAGGAGGAAAAAGGATAGTGTCATCAAGCAAGAACACAAGGTTTTCTGTATTTTTAATATGCTTAAACTATTTCGTAGTTTTTAAAAATGAGGGAGGGAAAGGACTTATACATGTTAAAAACATTGAACTAGAGCTTGTTAGAATAACATTTATCCTTTAAAACTGATTTAAGATAAAAGTTTCTTACTTGACTGCCTCGTAAATATTGTTGGAGGTATGTCCTGATAAAGCATCATGCAAATTTCGAATAAAATAATCTCTGTATTCTTCTGGAAGGGCCATGAATGTACCACCCATCACAATGAATTCTACTTTATCCACACTGTGGCCAAGCTGTTTCAACTGAAAGACACACAAATTTATCAGCATTAGAAATGGGCACCCATGCCGAAGGTGCTGCATATTCTCAAACACATTTTGCAGTCTTATTATGTAGTTTTAAAAAAAGGAAGCTTGATTAAACCTATTTAGATAATCCTGTGAGAATTTTAAAAATGGACTTGAGAGTCTAAACTTTAAAAAATATATATATACATTTCTCTCATAAGGAGGGAGAGTTAGTAATAGAAGATGACTTCAACATTTATAGTCAAATGGAAATTCAAAAAGACATAGAATATACACTGGAAAGCAGTAAGACAAAAATCTGTCCATTATAAACAGTATTTATTGTTCATATGCTTTATACTAGATGTTGCGGTAGGCCTGGGGACAAAAAATACAACATATTATATAATCCAGGCTTGATACAAATGGAAGGAAAATGAACACCAGATTAGAAAGGGAGGGGTGAATCCAAGAAAGCAGTTTTAAAGTCATTGTAAAGATTCAGGGCACAGATGGCACCTCAAGCCTGTTCTGAGAGAAAAGGAAAAAATGTCTGAAAACTACTGATGATATATGAAATTATCTTTCCTATGAGGAGACAGAATAGTACACATCTTTCTTTTGTCAACTTCCATGAGCCTATACATAATATAGAGTCAAACTACCTAATTATGAACTAGAACTAAACATACTTTGAAAAGAATTTTTACACTTAATTTGGACAAAGAGACACCTCCTTTTTATACTTGTTTCTACAAACTGGGAGAGAAATTATATATGCAAATAAACACTTACATATGCACATATATATGCAAACATACACATCAATGGTAACACAATATTCTGTATTGATGCCTGTTAACAAGGGATACTATCAAAGCCATTCTGAAAGCTTTTTCAGAATATCTTGCCGGGATCATAAGCCAGATTTAATCAAAATCTCCAGAGGTTTGAAAAGATAACTCAGGTGATTGTGGTAAAGAAAACAATCACTACTCTATTTCAGTTTCTAAGTCTTTTTAAACCAACGTTCCTTTTTGGTAAACACGTATTTCATACTCTAAGCAAGTATAATTTTTTATCTTAAATTCATTTCCTATCATAACTTAAACACATTAAAACCATAGTTTACAATATACTTTCCAAGTAGAAATTAGGACTAGATGGTATTTTCTAACACCAGTTAAATAAATCCACAATAGAGTTAATGGCTATGTATAAAAGTACTTTTTTTTCATGTAAACAGCACTTTACACATTTTTTTTTGCAAAGAGCGCAACTATCCTCACACTATTTCAAAATCATGTTAGATCAGTGTTTCCAATGCTACTGACTTCTGTTTCAATTTTTTGTCCTGTCCATTGGATTTAATGTTACTGTGATAACACTGATATAGAAAAGGTAAGCATTTTCCTAAATTGGGTATAACCAGTGGTGAACTGAGTAGGCTTCTGATGGAAATGAAATACCATTAAAACCGCCCAAGAGTATGTGAATTTACTAAGAACTGATCCTAGCCTTAAAACCATAGGAACCAGCTCAAATCCACCAGATGCTCTGCTAGAGAAGGAGGGGCAATCTCCTTCTGTAACAGTCGGATCCAATATGATGGTACACACACACAAAATAATAAAATAAAAATTAAAAAACAAACCAAAAACCTATAGGAACAAGTTTTTTTATTATACTGCTTTCATAAATGTTAAACAGAAACATAACTTTTTAATAATCTTCTTTGAAATCAACAAATAAAAATCGTAAGAAATGGTATTTCCAGCTTCAGACATCATTTTCATTTATTTACTCATGCATTATCATTCTCATCCAATGCTGGAATCCTTCAAAGTGTTATTACTCATCATTGAACTATCTCAGAGCCGCCTGGAGGCACTCTTCTGAATGGATGTCAACACTATCACTGCCGTTGGCACCTTCATTTTCATCACTGGTGCTCTGCTGCACACAATCTCAGTCTTTCTGAATCCACTGCAGATGGCTTCTGGGGTTATCTTTTTCCCAAATAGAAGCCCATCACAGACTTCAGCTGTCCAGATGGTGTGAGCTCATGAATCCCAGACTGTATATATTCATCTCCCTCTCTTCTCATGAAAGTCTTAAACTAGTGGTAGACCATTTATCTAACAGTTTCAGCTGGCTATTAAGGTCACCTAGGGAGCTCTGGTGTCCTAGTGATAAGAAATTGTGCTGCAGTCACAAAAGCACGTAGTTCAAATCCACCAGCTGCTCTACAGAAGACTGGGCAATCTCCTCCCATGCAATTTACTGCCTCTGAAAACCACTGGAAGGTCAGTCAGCTATGGATCAGTTCTGATTCAACAGCACACAACAACTCTAAGGCCACCAAAAAAAGAATACTATAATTTTAAAAAAGACTTTTTATTGTGATTTGGATGGAAGGTTACAGAGTTTGTCTTCCATTCAACAATTCATATATATCTTAATTCATGACAGTTAATAGCAATGGTCACAACGTAACAGTACTCATCTATGTTTACCATTTTCATTCATCTTTTCTATCTGCCCTTCTGTAACTGCAACAACAATAGATGCTCAAACAAAGAAAATCTGTATTGTTTAAAGTGCTTGAACAGGTAGTTACATAGTACAAGTATTTAATCAGCTTTTATTGTTTTTAGCAGCTGAGGCTGAATCGACCCACTGCAGATGCTCCAGTGGGTTTTCATATGCAGTTCTCTCTCAGAGAATCTGGTGGATTCCAATGTTAATCAGCTGTAATGAGTTATAATTTATATACAATAAACTCCTTCCTTCATGTATAAAATTTAATAAGTTGTAATAAATACACAAAGTTGAGTAACTGCTACCTCAGTCATGACACAGAATATTTCCATAAGCCTCACTAGTTCCTCATGTCCCTCAGCACCCAATTCCCTATGTCCCTCCCAGGAAACCACTCACAATGTTTGTTGATCTGGGTCATGGAAGCTAAGATTCAATTCACTTATCTATTGTCTGAGAATTTGCATATACTTACTCCAAAAGTTTCACATCATAAATGACTTTCTATACATTGAAAATAAAAATATAGGCAAATATAGTCTGTACAAAAAAATAATAGTGTCTCTAAAGAAAATAGTATTTTTGACCTTGCCAGGGATTGTAACATATTTTGCGTTCTAGGACAGATTGGAAAAACTTATAAAGGAAAAAAGACAGTGTTTAGCGCTTACTTCAGGTTCAACCCAAATCAAGCAACAATAATGTCTTACCAAGCATAAAATACTAATTTTAAAATGACTGAAAAAATTTACCTGCTCTATTCTGTGCCTTGTCTGTAGAAAAGGGTCGTACCTGGCCCGGATAGCTCTCATGGAGGTTGGCTAAGGAAAAAAAGAGAAAAACTTCCTGTTATGCTCGTCAAAATAAAAAAATAAAAAGCAGTTCAAAAATGTCACAGTAAAAATAAAATTTCTTATGATTTGGAATACTACATGTAGCTTATGTCCTTTTCTTCTTCTCTGCCTTGTCAGGGTTCAGAACACTAAGCTGAATATAATAGTCTACATCCCTGTTATAAATAATGACATAGAGTCTTCCTGGATCACACTTATTGAATCCCCAGGGTCACCAAATTGTCACATCATTCACTGATATAGATGTCTGTGCATATGCAAGAGAGCTATGTGGTAAAACAACCTTTAAGCAAAATTATTAAATACAGCACAATCTGAATTGAACACAGGACAACTGTTTTACTACTGTATAATCATGAAACAGGTGCACCCATTCCTCACTTATTGACACAGTTTCTGAAGACTCAGTCATTATAGAAACAGAGCATTATGCAAAATGCACAATTACCACATCAGATCACAAAATTATAAGTGACTACATTATTATGTAACTACTAAATTTCATCATGACAGAACTTCCACACCACCGGAAATCATGGTTCAGCCAGGTTGACACATGACCTTAACCATCAGAGCCAGTGTTAGCGTTACTCTCTCTATCTCACATCTTGGCATTTCTGACTGATAGACTCATGTTGTTAATGCGCAAAATTGCCAGACAGATTTCTTTACTACCGTCATAAATGCAAAATGCTAACAAGAAAGTTGATAATAAATAGGTGTAATAAAATCTATGGTCAAATGAAAAACAGCAAGGTATAGAAGTACTACATGCAAAAAAGTAGGATAAAGAATATGTATACATTTATATCTCCATATAACCATAAAGCACTTCAAAAGACATAAAAGAAATAGATAGCATTGATTGCCTTTGCTTCAAGAGAAGAAAAGGATCGGCAGAGAATAAAAGTGGGAAATAAGCAAGCGTCTTTTCACAGAATCATTTCTTTTATATTTTGTAAATGGTGAAACCATGGAAAACAGAAAAAAGAATGAAAAGCCACACAAAAAGTCAGTAACATGCTGGCTTCTCGATCTCTTCAAAAAAAGGCTAACTCTGTTAAAAGCCTCATCACCGGTCTCCCATTTTCACACTTGCCCTCACACTGATAACATTCTCTACGCAGCCATCAACATGATTTTTTAAAAACCTCAATCAGATTACATCATCACCCTGTTTTAAACACTAATGGTGTCTCAGGGCAACAATCATAACAGCCAAACTCTAGCCTGATGACGGTGTGGGATTGGGAAAGTTTAGATCTGTTGTAAACAGGGTCAGGATGAGTTGGTATCAACTTGAAAGCATCTCACAATAACAGTTCATCATGACTTAAAAAAATCCCTACTTGATTTGTCTTAATGTGTTTGTTCAAGTTATTCTTTCTGCTAGAAATGTTCTTGATAATTTTATTGACTCCTTTATGTCATGTAGAATGCCTGGTGACATAGTGTGTGACGTGTCTGACTGTTAACCAAAGTCAGTGATGAAAACCCACTAGCTGCTCCAACAGAGAATGATGAGCACTGTCCTACAATGATTTAGTCTCAGAAACCAGATGGACCGAATGGCAGTGCATTATGTTCATGTCATTTAGGTATCACCTGAAATATCATCTCAAAGAACTCCTTCCTAATGAACATGGTTAAACTGTCATCCAATAATCAGACACAGTAATAAATAAACCACACTCACCAATGGTAATTAACATTGTAAAAGTCTATGAATAATTTGTGAATCTTCACTTTAAAAAAGGAATTTAAAAAGATATAATAAAGAGATTTTTAAAAAATGAATCAGTAAGTTGGTCGAAGTGAAAGGGATACAATAAAGGGTTGATTAGATGTTATCAAATGTATATGAATGATAAAAACCTATGAACCAAGCTACTATATTCTATTGTAAATCTCTGCTTAGCATTTATTAGCATAGATAGTATCTGATTTACAACATATTTGCATTATAACCATCCTTGATTTTTTGGAGAGTGGGGAACACATCTTATCATTACGAAATGGACTCCATGAAGTGTTGCAGAGTGTGGCTTGCTGATATTATCATCTCAGACGTTCAAGTGTATGATTTCTTATTCAAAACACTATCACAAAGATTTCAGTTTTCTAAACTAATCAGGGGCTTCAGTTGCTTAGGATCACTGATGCAAATGCGAATTGTTTTGCTAAACCTGAAAGGCAGATTTGGGAAGCAGTGAGGTATTTCTATGAAAAGAAACAACAGACAGTGACCCTTCAGATAAGTCTCACTAATTTTCTAACCAGAAATTCTTAGGGATCATTTGGATGATGTAGAATATTCTATAAATGCAGTTATTACTGTAACTGAAGGAAGCTCTGGTGCCTTAGTGGCAAGAAGCTGCTCTGCAATCCCGAAGGGATGCGGTTCAAGGCCACCAGCTGCTCTGCGAGAGAAGAATGGGCAATCTCCTCCTGTGGGATTAACTGCCTCTGAAAACCTGCTTGAGGGTCAGCTACAGGTGAATCCAATTCTATGGCACACAACAACTGTAACTGAAAGAATGCCAACTTTATCCAGCTCTTATTCATCTTTGGATTAAATCTTCAAAATTTCTGTATTTCTATGTATGTTTTAAGCTTTGGAGGTTTAATGGTAAGGAGCTGGATTGCCAACCCAAGGCACTTGGTTCAAATCTGCGAGCTGCTTCTCAGGACAAAGATGGGCAAACTTCTGTATGATTTACTGCATCTGAAACCCATTAGGGGGTCAGCTATGAGTCAGTTTCAACTCGAATGTACATAACAGCGACAACTAAAACACATCTGTAAACTGAGATGTAAAGTTTCCAAAGATAAAACAGATCAAGTTTCTAAAAACACTGATAACAAAAGGCAACGCTAATGAGAATAAAAAATAAAACAGGAAAAAAACGAAGTGTTCAACTTACATCAGATGGACTTATGATGATGAAGTTGCCAGAAAAGAACCCCCTAAGTCAGGGACTACCTACATCTGGTGTTTCTCATGTTTATTTCTTTATTGTCCATCTTCCATTATTATATTGTAACACCATAAACTCAGGGATCTTGCCTGCTTTGCTCCTTGTTAAAGAGGCAGTGAAATGCAGTGGTGAGGAACCTTGCAGGAAAGGTAAAAGCTGCCTCTGTCACTTACTAGCAGCTGTTCTAATTATTTCATGCCTTAGTCTGCTCATCAGTAAAGCTGAGACAATAACAGTTTGTACCTAGTGGCCTAGCAGTAAGAAACCGCACTGCAATCTGAAAGGCATGTGGTTTGAATCCACCAGCTACTCTGTGAGAGAAGCATGGGCAATCTCCTCCTGTGCGATTAACTGCCTCTGAAAACCTGCTGGAGGATCAGCTATGGGTCAGTTCCAAATCAATGCAACTCAACAGCAGCAGCCCCCCCCTTCGAAAGACTGCTGAAGGTTTAAAGATGTATTTTTCCAGTAACTAGAAGAATGGTATTTGTAGCCACTCAGCAAATACCTGGTGAATGAACAACTTGTGTAATCAGGACAAAAAGTACAAAATAAAAATTTTATGAACGCAAGTACTCATAAAACCACATTTCAGGTAAAGTATAATGTAATATTTTATCAGAACAATGATAAGTTGCAATTACTTTACCTCGTATCCTGTGTAAGACTGTGTTGAATACTCAAAATCTGAATCAGGTCCACCCGGGCAGTATCTGTTAAAACAACAAATGAATTAAAATTTCAGATATAAAACCTATTTCAACTGTCTCATTCAAGTATCTACATCCTTCATTAAAATAATCAGTTTCATTTTCAAATCATAATAGAAAAGCCTACCTTTGCTGTACCTGAAAATAATATTAGCATGTTTTGCTAATATATAAGATAAATATGTAACAAACAATTCATTGCCAATGAGATGGAACTGACTCTTTGCTGACCCTCTGACAGGTTCTTAAGGGCACATAAAAGGAGACTATCATTTGTCCCTGGAGCCTCTGGCAGATTCGAACAGCCTGCCTTTGAGTTGGCAATGCCACTCTTACTCACACTGGACTACCAGACTTTAATTACATAAAGGAACATCAAAATACTGAATTACCATAATTTTAAAAGTTTAAGCTTGTAGGGGTGAAGAAGAGGTACCAATTTTCTTTAAGTTCAGACTGATACTCTTGGTACTCTCTTGGTAAGCATACTTTAGGAAATCTTTCTCACTTTTTTTTTTATTATTTCAATGAAAGTTTACAGGATTTCCATTCATTCATTGCTGTACACTTTCCTCCCTGCTCACACTTCCCCCCCAGTTTGCTTTTGTCTTTGAAAAGTTTAAAAAAAAAAATAAATTCTTTCATTATTACACAATCCCCCCTTCTAATGCACTCCACCATGCAGCTTTCATTCCAGATGCGAGTCATCACAATAATACCTAATCATATATTTCTCCTAAACAGTTCTCTCGCTCATCTGTTTTAATGCAGTATACATTATTTATCCCCTCTTAGTTTTCCCCTCACCCTGATGTCAGTCCTGCTTTACAACAGGGGCTCTATGCAGTATTTGTCCTTTTGTGACTAGGATATTTTATTGAGCACAATGTCCTCCAAGGTAACCCATTTTGTATAATATTTCATTAGTTTGTTATTTTTCAATACAGCATAGTATTCTATCTATGAATATACCAGAGCTTCTCTATCCATTCATTTGTTGATGAGCACTTGGGTTGTTTCCAACTCTTTGCTATTGTGAACAAAGCTGCAATAAACATGGGTGTGCATATATCTGCCTGGGTGGGAGTTTCTTTAGGGTACATCCCCAGTAGTGGAATTGCTGGGTCAAATGGTAGTTCTATTTGCAACTTTTTGAGAAAGTGTCATACAGTCTTCCAGAGTGGTTGCACAAGTCCACACTGCCACCAACAATGAATAAGGGTTCAGTTTCTCTGCAACCTCACCAGTATTTGTTGTTTGCTGTTCTGTTAAATTTTGCTATTCTTAGTGGGGTGAGATGATATCTCATAGTTGTTTTGGGAAGACTGTCTTACTTTTCACTTTGCATGATTCAAAATCTGAAATCAAGTGCATCAGGATGTGTCCTGTCTTCATATCTTCTCAATCTGTATGTAGAACAAATCACTTGAGAGGTTGGACTTTAAGAGGAGGAATGTGGCATCAGGATTGGAGGACCTACCTAAGGCATTTGCTGCAAAGAGTCAAGGACTGTAGCTTGAGATATAGACTGAAGCTCAATACCAAGAAGACGAAGATTCTCACTACTGGGCCAAGTGGCAGCATCATGATAGATGGAGAAGAGATTGAGACTGTTAACAATTTCTGCTTGCTCATGTCTCCAATAAACACCCTTGGCCTCATTAGTCAGACAATCAAAAAACAAACTGCATTAGGGAAATGTGCTGTCAGGGACCTCTCCAGAGTGCTGGAGAGCAAGGACATCAGTCTGGAGACTAAGGTGTGCCTGATCAGGCCATGGTCTTCACAATTACTTGCTATACATCAGAGAGCTGGACAATGACTAAGGATGACAGAAGAAGAACTGATGCCTTTAATTTGTGGTGCTAAAGAAGAGTAATGTAGATACCATGGCTGCAAAGAAAACTAACAGGTCTGTCCAAGAGAGGGTGAAACCAAGTTGCTCCTTGGAGGCAGGGATTTGATTCCATCTCACATACTTTGGGCATGTTGTCAGGAGGGACCAGTCTTTGGAGAAGACTACTTGGATATCATGTACGGAAGGGTGGTGGCACAATGTAGAAAACGACGACCCCAGCTGAGATAGATTAGCACAATAACTGGGGGAATAAGGTAAGTGTGTAAGAGACAAGAAGATTCGCTCAGGATAGTGCAGGGTTCAGAGCTATTGTGCACAGGGTCACTATGAGACGTAGTTGGCTTGATGGCACATAATAACAACTGAGATCAATATATACCTTCTGTTGATTTTTTTTTCTAAATACCTTAACTGTAAGAATTCTAAAGGTATTTTTATATATAACCTTTCATTTTGATGTTTTTCTGATCCAAATTCATTTTCAAAATCAGACAATGGGAAATTAGGTTGTTCATATTTCCTTGTTTCATTTGTTAATAGAATGCCTATTATGTAAGTTTTTTAGGTGTTCTTTCAGGGAGCTCTGGTAGGCTAGAGATGAGGCGCTGTGTGGCCAGCCCAAAGGAACACAGTTCAAATCCGCCAGCTGCTCTGCAGGAAAAAAGATGGGCAATTTCCTCTAGCAGCCTCTGCTAACTCATTGGAGGGTCAGCTATGGGTCAGTTTCAACTCAAAAGCACTGAACAACAACATGCACGCTTTTAATTATATGCTGTAACAAATTAAAACTGGTTTATGTTCCACTTTTTTAAAGTATTGAAATATTCTACCAATGGTTTCTTGTCTCAAAGAACTAAATTTAGAATATATTAAAAAGAAGCTTTAACTAGTAGGCATTGATCTAGGATGCCTAGGAAATTAAAATACACATACAAATTATCAAAATTACCATACTTACACACATATATTTCCTGTAAAACTGATGTGTGGACATCTGTGGGGTTTGCACATCACAGCCACAACAGCAATCTATAAAAGAGTAATTTAAGAGCTATTATAGAACAATTAATGCATAATTTTGAAAAAGGAGTATCTCTCAAAGGTAGAAAGAATGACACAACTAGAAATCGGCACAGAGGGAGCTTTGAGGCATTCACAATGTTGTATCTGAGGTAGGTAGTGACTATAAGGATTATTCCTTTTCTGTATTATTCACTGCATATGAATAATATGTCTGGATTACTTTGAATTCACAAGAAATTAAAATAAGGAAGTAGTAATTTTCATTTTTAAAGTCACAATGATTCTTATTCTCTCTGATATACTGTTTCATGAAAATAGCCTACAAGTTATCTTAAACAAAATTTTACATAAATTAATAATCTTTCATTTTACTTAGATCAACAGTAAACATCCACGGTAACAGCAGTCAAGAAATCAAAAGACATGTTACAGTGGGAAAGAGAATCTGCTGTCAAGGACCTCTGCAAAGTGATAAAAATCAATGATGTCAACTTAAAGACTAAGATGCATCTGATTCAAGCCATTATATTCTCAACTGCTTCCTATGCATCTGAAAGCTGGACAATGAATATGAATGCCAGAAGAATCAATGCCTTTGTATTATGGTGCTGAAAAAGAGTTCTGACTATCCCATGGACTGCCAAAAGAACCAACGAGTCTGTACTGGAGAAAGTGTAACTAGGATGATCCTTAGAAGCCAAGATGGCCAAATACTTTCTGTGAGTATCGCCTCACATACTTTGGACACATAGTCGAGAGGGGCTAGTTCTTGGGGGGAAAAATCATGCTGGAGAACGTTAAGGTTCAGAGAAAGAGATGAAGACCCTTAGCAAGGTGGATTGACACAATGACTGTAACAGTGGGTTCACGGATATTAGAGACGGTAAGCATGGTGGAGCAGAGGTCAAGATTCAGATCTGTTGTTCAAATAGTGGCTAAGAATTATGGTTGTGTCGATGGTACCTAACAACAATCTTCATAAACAAATGCCTCAAGCTACACAGCAAGACGATGAAACTAGAACTGGACTTTTCACAGTCTGTGAAAAATATTGAGAAGACTCTCAGAGATCAAATGGGATGAGAAGGGAATCCACCTGAGAAAGAAAGCAATGACAGAAATTGAAAACTGGCCACACATGGGGGGAGAGGGGAGAAGTGTTGGTTAAAAAAAGTCTTCTATTAAAGCCGAAGCAACCCGGGCTTCCCATTGTCATGGAACATTATAAGTACGTTCTTAAAAAGAGAGAGAACTAAAACAACTATGAGATATTATCTCACCCCAGTAAAAACAGCAAAATTTAACAGAACAGCAAGCAACAAATGCTGGCAAGATTGTAGAGAAACTGGAACCCTTATTCACTATTGGTGGGAGTATAAAATGGTGCAAACACTGTGTAAAGTGGCGTGGCGCTTTCTCAAAAAGTTGCAAACAGAGACACCATTTGACCCAGCAATTCCACTACTGGGAATATACCCCAAAGAGACCATAACTGCCACCCAAGCAGATATATGCACATCCATGTTCATCGCGGCTTAGTTCACAATAGCAAGGAGTTGGAAACAACCTAAGTGCCTATCAACAAATGAATAGATAGAGAAGCTGTTGTATACTCACACAATTGAATACTATGCTGCATTGAAAAACAAGGAACTCATACAATATTATTCAAAATGGGTGACCCTGGAGGACATTATGCTGAGTGAAGTATCTCAGTCACAAAAGGACAAATACCGCATGGTGCCACTGTTGTAA